ACACCTGAGTCTGTCTTAGACCAAGAGACACTTCAGTGTATTCGTAATACTTTCCAAAATCGGGTGAGTTTGTGGGGTCTTTTTTCTTTGTTGTTGTGTGATTCTTAGGTGTTTCTATAGTGGCTAACATATCAATGGCCTTCAAATATTTAATGAAGAAATGAATGGATTTGCTTAATATGATGAAATATCAAGACAGTCTGCCCTCTGTATCTTTAGGCTCCACCTGCTGGAATTCAGGAAACCATTGATGGAAAATACTCAGGGGGAAAATTGTATGTTTGTTTTCCAAAGGTACTCGGTAGATAGGCCTGTAGTAATTGCTTCTGTATGAACCTGTATAGATTTTTTTTCTTGTCACTATACCCTAATCAATACAATATAACAACTATTTACATAGCATTTACATTGTATTAGATAATATGAGTAATCTAAGAGATAAGAAATAATCTAGATATATGTAAGTTGTATACACATACTACACTATTTTACATAAGGGATTTGAGCATCTGTGGATTCTGTGTTCATAAGGGGCCCTGAAACTAATCTCCCACAAATAAAGAGGGACAACTGTGTATAGTCCATTCCATTTAAATAAATAGCAATAACAAACACTGAGCGGCTGGGGTTATAACTCAGTGGTAGAGCACTTGTCTAGTATGTGTGAGGTACTGGGTTCGATCCTCTGCACCACATTAAAAATAAATAAATAAAATAAAGGTATGTGTCCATCTACAACTAAAAAAGTTTAAAAGAAAAGAAACACCTGAATTTTCATATTCCATCCCATTTACTCAACTCTTGTTTCACTATATGCTTTAGATAGAAAGCCACAGACCGTGAAGGAAGAAAATTATCCAGATTCCTGTGAAAAAATAAAAAGTCTTTTAAGTGCCTTCCCATTACCACTTCTTAAGGCTGACAATTAGTAACTTTCTCAAAAATGGCTACATATCACTGTGCCAGGGAAAGAAGTAAAGGTGGCACTTAGCAGTGAGAACTCTTTAGTCATACTTGGTTTTTATTCAAGCTGTACAGCATAATAGCTAGCAGTATAACTTTCTTCTAAAATAAGGTTTCTTCATAGGGTTACTAAGAACACATCTTCAAAGAACTTAGACCAGCACCTAGTACAACATAGTGAAGCACTTTTAAAGGAGATAAGGACTTGCACTGGGGTTGTAGCTCAGTGGTAAAGCATTTGCCTAGCATGCGTGAGATGCTGGGTTTGACTTCCCCAGAACTGACAAATAAAAAGAGAGAGATGGGAACTGGGGTTGGGGCTCACTGGTAGAGTACTTGCCTGGCATGTGTGAGGCACTGGGTTCAATTCTCAGCACCATATAAAAATAAATTAATGAAATAAAGGTCTATCAACGTCTTAAAAATGTTTTTTAAAAAAGAGAGAAAGATGGACAAAATAATCATGTAGCAAATCTTTATTGGATAACTCTTGTCTGCAGACAGTATGATGTGGGTCTGGGACAGCTGGGAGTTCAGACTGTCTTTTTCCTCCACACTCTATTTCCCTCTAATCTGGTTTATAAGTGAAATAATAATGACAATAATGGTAATATCAAAAACTGCTGCCATTTTCTGAGTACCTTCTGTGTTTCAATAGCTTTATATTTGTTTTCTACTTATATTATTACAACTTTCTTGATAGTAGATAGTGTTACCATTTTATAAATGAGAAAATCAAGGCTCTGAGAGGTTAAGTAATTTGCCCAAGATACATGCCTAAGTAGAAAACCCAGGGTTTGGTCCCAAATTTGCCTGACTGCAGAGTCTTACTTAATCCATTCATCAGGTGATTATAAATATATTTGAAATGCCCTGACAAGGTTGTAGAAGACCTCTACATACACGATATTGTAGTGCTTAGTGAGCCTGGTTACATTTTGGTGTTTCTTTTAATATTCCCGCAATCTCAAGTTCCTGTTGAAAGTTACTACAGAAAATAGTACACAATGCTTAGTACATCTCTTCCTGTGAATGAACTGCTTTGTTGGTCCTAAGTCTACAAAACCAGTATTGCAAAACTGAACTACCACAGGCATGGTGATGCTTTCCTAGCTCTCCCTCTCCTGCTATGAAGTGCACCAAGGAGAGAGCCAAAGACCACATTGACCAAACCATCTTCCTGACAGGCCTGCCCCCACCCCCATCAGTCTTTTGAGCATTTCACCAGGATGTGGGGAAGATCAGAATGAAGTGGCTCTCTAAGGACTCTTTGAGATTGAAATTTCACAATGCTATTTGGAGGGTATCTTCAACTTACACATTCTAAAACTCAGCCTGTGATTATGATTTAAAGTACAACCATTTTAGTTCCTATTTCAGGATCTCCACACATACACACACCAGAATTTCTTATGCTTTTCAGTGTAACTGAAATTAACCTTTTCTTCCTTAAACCAGATTCTTGAACATCTAGTCCTTGACTCATTTGAGAGTGTGGTTTTCCAGAAAATAAGAAACATGTATCTCTGTGTGTACATGTGGGTTCCAAGGTGAATAGGAGTGGTTAGTCCTAAGTTGCATAGAGAAGGTAAACTCTCTGACGGCCATTTTGGAAATTGGAACACAGAACWGAACTGAGGATACACTATAAAGAGTTCTCATTGGCTTCCCTTTACCTCCTAATCCACAATGTAATTCCACCAGGTTTAGACTGTGTCAAACATTCTTTTCACAGATGCACTCCCTTTTCTCTTCTGAACCTAAAAACTATTACTACATTTTTTCTACCCTTCCTGCATATTTCCTTGGGACTTTTTCTCTAAAAGACAATAGTTGGCAATAATGGTTTCACAGAAGGAGTGCTCACATTTCACATCTATGCTCTAGGCATTTTACATTCTTAATCTCATTTAATTTTCACAGCATCCTAACGGGTAGATGAATTATCTATTCCCACATTTATAAATAGGGAAGCTATGGTGTGGGGAAGTTAACTTCCCTAGGGTACAGGAAGTTAGAAAGTGGCAAAACTGAAAGTCACTTTATTCTCCCTAACTTCATGGTTGTGCTTTCCCCATGAAGCTGAGATGATGAGGATTGTTACTGTTATTACTGTTAGGGCTGCTTGCTCCCAGTTTTTATGTCATCCAAGGGAGAGAGTACTTTGTGTGAGGTACGTTTGTATGGTCTGAAGGTGTGAACTGAGCCGGAGTTCACATTAACACCATGGACCCTCGCAACAAGCTGCTGGTTGAGTACTTTATTATTGCAACTTTACAAGTGGGGAAGCTAAGGCTCACCAGAATCCCAAAGCTAATCAGTCTGGCAATGGAAACTGGATCCAGTCCCTTGTGGGGCATTTCTTAAAGTTTACTATGCATAACAGAGCTGTGCACCAGCTGGGAGTAGTCAGTCCCTAAGGTAGTACATGACAACATCAAACAGTAGACATGTAGCTTACAAAAAGTTAGAATATATTTCTCCAGTTAGAACATGAGATTGTACAAAGGCTTAGCAAGATAGGAAACTTGAATTCATGCCAAAGCTCACTAAATTTTTTTGTGCTTTTTTTTTTGGAGGATGAGGGTACCAGAGATTGAACTCAGGGGCACTCAACCCCTGAGTCGCATCCCTAACCCTTTTTTGCATTTTATTTAGAGACAAGGTTTCACTGAGTTGCTTAGCACCTGACTGTTGTGAGGCTGGCTTTGAACTCGAGGTCCTCCTGCCTCAGCCTCCCAAGCTGCTGGGATTACAGGTGTGCGCCACTGCACTGGGCTTTTTGTGCATATTGTACACATTTGAGTACAATGTTTCCAGAGTGCAGCTTGGTTTTGTTTGTTTGTTTCTGTTTTTGTTTTTTGTATTTTTTTAGTTGTTGATGGACCTTTATTTTTTATTTATTCATTTATGTGTGGTGCTGAGAATCAAACCCAATGCCTCACACATGCTGGACAAGCACTCTTACCACTGAGCTATAATCCCAGCCCTGTAACTTGACTTTTGGTTTGGTTTGGTTTGGTTTGGTTACTGGGATTAAATCCAGCGGTGTTTTACTACTAGCTACATCCCCAGTCCTTTTTAATTAATTAATTTATTCATTCATTTATTTTTTGAGACAAGGTCTCACTAAGTTGCCAAGGTTGACCCTGATCTTGGCATTTTCCTGCTTCAGCTTCCCATGTTGCTGGGAGATATTCAGAGAGCATTCTGCATATAAAAGTTGTAGATACCATATGAGGAGGAGTATAAGGGCAAGGCTATTCACTGTTTTGAAGTATAATGCCATTATATTCCATAAATGAGTAAATAAATGATAATGGTGCTAGGTGGCCTAAGGATGGAAAAATACCATCCTGGATGGCCATATGCCATCTGTATTAGTGAGTTATTCATATGGGTATCTGGCTAAAACAGGTTGCATGGATGAACACTGAGAGAGTGATTGCTTAGGAAACTATACTTGTTGCCTTAAAAGGATATAGATAGATAGATAGATAGATAGATAGATAGATAGATAGATAGATAGATAGATAGATCTAACTATATATATATATATATATATCTTGCTACCCCCGGGTAGTGGCTGTCAGAGCAGCCACAGTCACTTAAATATGTTTTACTCATCTATTTTTTTCCTGTAGAACATATGAGATTAAAAAAAAATCTTTATCAATCAGCAAGTAATTGAAATTCTGTGATTATCAAATTCATGATGGTTATCCACACCAGCAAATTTTCTTTGAACCTTAAAAATACTTGCTTTTAAAAAGTCCTTTTCCAGTCTCTCACTCACTTTTTTGAGAAGAAACCTCAATTCATGTATACATTCATTCATCAATATTTATTGAGTACTTGAATTTTGTGGGTCATTGTGCTAATTGCTAGGGAAGCCTCACTAGAAAGATGTCATCTCAGTTCTCACAGAGTGAATAGTGGTGACATTGTTAATGGAGCATATTATAAAATCTATTGCAGAGAAATGCAGTGTAGTTTGAGAGCATAGATGAAAGTAACATTTATTTCCATTCCAATAGATTTCGGTTTTGGAAATTTCTTTAAAAGTGGTGAACTGCTGGCAACATGGTGTGGCAGCCCCCCTTATGCAGCCCCAGAAGTCTTTGAAGGGCAGCAGTATGAAGGACCACAGCTGGATATTTGGGTATTGCTTTGCTTTGCTGTGTTAAATGCATCTATAATGATAATACTTGCTACTTTGGCCCATGGTAGAAACTCCTGGCACTTGACACATAAGCAGTATTTCATATGTTCCCCATCTGCTGGAGTGTAATTAGAGCATCTTGAAATCAATCCCTAGGAAAGAATTTCTAGGGACAGGTGTTATCATCCTAATATTAGCAATAATTTAAAGTTAAGCAGTAAGCAAAATGATGAAATTCAGATCATTTGTTATTTTTTATACTTATTGCAGTAGTCAGGGTTGGAGTTTCTTTCCCCCCAAATTCTGAGAAAGTAATAAATTTGGACAGGAATATTTCAGTCCATATGATTTTAAGAGCCCTGAGGATTTTGAGGAAGATAGAGTGTTTAAAGTTCTCCCTGGAAAGTGTACTGTTTTCTTCCCTAGAGCATGGGAGTTGTTTTGTACGTCCTGGTCTGTGGAGCTCTGCCTTTTGATGGACCAACTCTTCCAATTTTGAGGCAGAGAGTTTTGGAAGGAAGATTCCGGATTCCATATTTCATGTCAGAAGGTAACAAGTTGTCTCTTACTAATTGTGTACTTTAAAGAATTTTTGTCCCAAATGAAATGCCTAGGCAAAAGCTTCCCTTTTTCTGAGATTTAGGTACAAGTAAAATGACTTAGTCATTTTAAAAGCCATAGAAATAAGCTACCCACTCCATCATGTAGATGAGACAAGTTCCAGCCTCCCCACTTATAACTGAGAACAGAAGTTTCCCAGATTAAGAGCAGCAAGTCTTCCCATTCACTCTGGGTCTATAAATGTCCCATGTTTATTTTAGACTTATAGAAGCACTTCATAGATACAGGCTCACAACCATTTTACTCTAAGTACAAAATGGATTTTGCAAAATTAAAAAATTTTAAATTAAAAGCCAACTGGCAGAACTCTAGTGAATTAAGTTAAAATGCCATAATCCCTGCCTGTCTGTATTGGGTTGTTACATAGGCAGTAGTTAAATTTACTCCTTAGTTTTGTGATTTTTTTTCCATCCTACCTCTGGTGTTCCTACTAATAGTAGAAGTAATGCTTTTGAGCAGATAAGAGCATGGTTTGTGGAGCTTTATATCCAGACTCTACCTGGTTTTAATCCTTACTCCACCACTCACAGCCGTATGGCTTTGGCAGTCATATTCCTTTCTTGGCTTCAATTCCTCATCTATAAAATGGAAATAACAATTGTTTCTACCCTAGGGTATCATGAGAATAATTACTCTGTACAAAGCACTTACCGTGGTGCTTGAGGTATAGTGAGTGATATGACATCACCCCCTCGTGTGGAGGGTGATGAAGAGCATGATATCAGCTCAGAGAATCAGCTAGTGCTCAGAGTTGCAGCAGTGCAGTTTTCCTAGTGTAATCAGAAGTAAATAATGTTTTGTGGACCTTTTTCTCAGCAGCACTCATGAGAAAAGCAACAGCCCACTGGAGATCTCTGTCTTACCTGCATAGCCTTAGTGTATCAGCCTTGGGTGTGATTGAGAAGCARTTTATCATTTTCTCATTCTAGGAGTGAGGCTTAGTTTTTTTCTTTAATACAAAACTAAGTCTGTGAGTAGATATTTTTAGTTGCAACGTTAGTAGAAAGGCTCATTTAGCAGAGACTCAGACCCATACACTCCTGTTTTTCATAGTTCACCATGTGAACTTGACAAATATAAGTATCTTCCATGCATTCATTTTTTTATTTGACTGTCTACTTTCCAGTGGAGGGCACAGAGATTAATACCATTGTACGAAGTCACAGGAGTCAAGCAAATAATCCTGAAGTGCAAGGTGATTTATGCGACTTCTATAACATTGTGTTTTCTACAGATTGTGAGCACCTTATTCGAAGGATGTTGGTCCTAGATCCATCCAAACGACTAACCATAGCTCAAATCAAGGAGCATAAGTGGATGCTTATAGAAGTTCCTGTACAGAGACCTATTCTCTATCCACAAGAACAAGAAAATGAGCCATCTATTGGGGAGTTTAATGAACAGGTCCTTCGATTGATGCACAGCCTCGGAATAGATCAACAGAAAACTGTTGAGGTAAAGTGACGAGAGATTTGACTAAATATATGTTAGGATTCCTCTGCAGTTAGTAACTTGAAATTTCATTCTCACACCTGTCATCCTGGTCTTTTAGCACATCCATCTCTGGCACCTAGGCCTACTGTTCAGTGTTCCCTGACAGTTACATCAGACTCTATTTATATTTGCTTTTATTCAACATCTAAATTCCTTCCTTTGCCTCATCTGCCAAAAAGTTCAAGAGGGTTTATAGAAGATGCAGGAAAATTGAAGATGGAAGCTTAAAAAGAACAAGATAGAAAGTTTATTTCTAGATGAAGCATTAAGTTTCATATCAGCACTATACTAGTTTGTGTAGAACGTAAATATGCAGATATGGAACAAGGCTGAAGGTCACGCAGGAAATAAGGAAAGGCACTGGGTTTAAGAAAGCCAGTGGGATTTAATTGTGAACTAGAGAAACTAAGAAGGCAGAAACAGGTGGGGTCCTGATTTGGAAATATTAGGGATAATAGAACTAAGAAGGTCGTGAACCTGGAAAATTCCTCTTGGCTTTTTTTCCTGTCCTCTAGTGGTTAGCATATTTATAGGATATACATGTTTTTAATACCTCCACAATAGTGAAAACACAACAACAATAACAGCAACAACAACAAAAAAAAAAAAAAAAAAAAAAGTGCTTTTAAGGAAGAAGCGAAACAAGAAAGAATATCAAATGCCCCCATGTTTGCTGTGAAAGACCAAGGCTCCAAACTACTGCCTCCTCCCCTGTCATAGCTGTATATTAATTAAACTGGCTTTCCTGCCTGGTTCATTGTGCACCTAGTGATGTTTTTCTGTACTTGTCCATGAAGTAGATAGAGAATGGCAGCTGTGAGCGTGGTTCTGCTGGCCTGTGAGTTTTGCTGAGAATGCTCCACATTCATTTATGGGTACTCTGCCCAGCACCCATGCAGGCTGTCAGGTACAATTAGAAGCCAGAGGAGCAGTTGCTTCTCTGTTGTACTAGCATCCTGGGAAAACTGGCAGGCTAAAGATGTGAAAATTTGGGAAGCAACTTTATTTTCAAGGCTTCAAAAGGGTGGGACTGCAAAAACAAGAGGAAAAAATTACCTAAGAATGGAGACACAGTGTCTCTCCGTCTAGTATCCAGATGTGATTCTCCAGCCCAAAATAATCACCAGAAAGTTCCCAAAGGCTTTAATCATTCACTTCATGGTTTTCAGTGATTTGGACTTGGGTTGAAGCAATGCAATTAGAGCTTCTGGGCTCGGGGTGCTAACTGCCCTTCTACTATAGTTACAGCTATGAGATGGAACTGTGTGACAGCAGTGAGAATGCCTACATAAAACAGTGATGGCATTTTCTCTTAGTGCAGAAAAATAAATAGATCTTGATAATGTAAAAGGTCCAGTCAAGTAATTTTAAGGCATCAACCTTTACTTAACTAATACTAAAGACTTGAAATTGTCTGCCTTTGGGTCTAGATTTCATTCTGAGGCATACTTTGTTATTTTACTTTCAAGAACACCCACTTTTGCTTTAGAAAGGTACAGATCATTGGACTGGTTTTTATGGTACTCTACTTTCAACCAACAGTTGTTTTCTCTTTCAGTCTTTGCAGAACAAGAGCTATAACCACTTTGCTGCCATTTATTTCTTGTTGGTGGAGCGCCTGAAATCACATAGAAGCAGTTTTCCTGTGGAGCAGAGACTAGATGGCCGACAGCGTCGGCCTAGCTCCATTGCTGAACAAACAGTTGCCAAGGTAACGCCCCATTAGCCAATAGTCTTATCTGTGCATGTGCCTATTCGCATGTTTGACACATTTTTTTTTACCTTGTAGTACAAAGGTTAGGATTTCATCTTCTACACTCTATTTTTCTAGAAAGTTTCTCCCTCAATCATTCACTGGATTCTCAAATGTTTTGGCGCACCTTTCTGTTTGTAAGGATTAACTTTATTACAGTTTTTTTCATAAAGAGATGTTTTGTGTTTTAATCCCTTGCTTCTGTTGAGAATTAGTGTAACTAACCTATACATTCAGTTTCATGTACACATTTTTATTGTGGATTTACCATGTGTAGACCTCTATTTTTAGGTACTCTAGGAGTTAGGATGTGTAGAGTACACTCCTTGCCCTCAGAGACATTATACTGTGGAAGCAAAATAAGAATAGACCACAAATAATCATAATTCAAAGAAGGGAAAGATGAGTGCTGTTAAAGAACTGAGAACAAGAATGAGAGAGTCACATCTGAATGGGAACGAAATCATGAGAGAGGTGGCAGTTAGGAAAGATCTTCACAGATGTGTGGAACAGTGGCAGGGAGAGGCAGTACTTGAAGGCATTTTAGGTAGACAGAAACAGCAGGAGATGAGCAGAAGTATTTATGTTGGCAGTTGTAGGACTTGTTCCAATAAATACACTTGAAGTCTAAGGAAATAAGGAGTTGGAGTGATAAGTTGAAGCCACGTTGTAAAGAGGTCCACGCGCCATGGTAAAGGGTTTACTTACAATTCAGGAAGAAGTAAGGCACTATGAAGGTAGTTAAGCAGAAGAGTGATAGAATATCGTATTCTTTACAATAATTAATCTGAGAGCATTGGAAATGATGGGCAGGACAGAGAAGAGAAGAAATTTGGAGAGATCGATTAGGAGATTATTATAGTATTTGAGATGAGAAATACTGAAGGTCTAAATTAATGTGGCACTGGTGGAAACAGATGGAAGAGGCAAGTAAAAGAACCTCAGAGATATATCTTGTATAAACCTAGCGATGGTTTGGAGAAGTAGCTCTTATGGTGGTTAAAATTTCTAAAGTCTTTCTGTGCCTCAGTTTCCTGTGTGTAAATAGATAAGATTATAAGAATGTTGTGCCAGTAAAATTAGTTAATATTTTTGGAATACATAGAACAGTGTCTATTACATAGTAAGTGAGTGCTATATAAGTATTTGTATATAAGTAAATGTTGGGGGATTAGAGGACAAAAGTAAGTTAGGGATAATTCTGTCTTGGAGCTGGGCCTGAGAGAACAGTGTTGGCATTAACTTAGTTGCCAAGAGGGGATGCGGACACAGATCCCAGCAGAGATGCTGGAGTAGAGAGGTCTGGGGAATCATCTGTATAGAGGTTGAGGAGAAGAGTGGCTTGTTCCAGTGCTCTATTAGGATTTTTGTCCTCTTCTATGAGTGACTCTATTCAAAGTGAAATTAAGAGTAGAATTTTCATATTGAATTTCTTTGGCAGGTTTACAAAATTTGCAAGATTATAAGAAATTCTGGCATTTTTTATAGTATGTACAAAGAAAAAAACCAAGGAAATTAAAAATCTTGATTTTCATAGGCAAATTGTATTTTTGTTTATATGCTTTATATGGAAAATGTGAGTACCAAAACAAATGTGAGTTAAATAATGTTATCAATGTTATTCTAGATATTTGAGTTAGACTTTCTCAGCATGTAGAAACCTTCAAAGTTTAATTAGGTATTGCTTACAAGACAGAGGGGAAATGAGAGTTCATGAGCTGGGATGGTGTCCCTTCCTTCTTGCACGTGCAGCCAGGCAAAAGGACAGGAGGCAGAGACTCCCAGTGCAGTAGCAGGCTTTCCTTGCCAAGTGTCTTTATTCTTAAACATGCAAGTGAGTGAGTGGTAAAGGGTTACATAAACAACTGCTCCTGAGCATGTGCATATGTTATTTGATATCTTTTCCTATCTAGACTTTAAGCAAATTCCCCTGGATATCTCAAATTTTATTTAATTTGGCTTGGAGTTGAGATGTATAAGATGGCTTCTTACGTCTGCTAACTTTGTTTCCTTACCAAGCCTCCCATGAGTTCTTGCACTTTGTGCATTGACCCATGTCATCATAGAAACCTACTTACTGTAATTTAAAATACATGCAATCCAAATGGAAGTCTTCAGTGTTCATCTACAAACTTGTCTTAAAGGCTGCTGGATGCTAATCAGGAGGCAGCGCTGCTGAGGAAAATACTTCCTTCCCTCGGAAGGGCACGTTCTACTTTTTAGTACAGAGCTTACTAAAAAATAGATTTCTCTGGTTTTATGGATACTAAATATGCTCAAAATTTCAGTAGAGCCTTCTTGTTTTAATTCCTTGATGTTCTAATTTTTTTTAAAGAGCCCCTCCTGTCTGGCATTTTGTTATGGCAGCCTGGGCACACTAATACTATGCTGTGTTCTACGGTGGGCAACTCCCAATCCATAATTCAATAGCTGAGATGCCCATTGCATTCATGTTTGCTTACAATTGATACAAACCATGGAGTGGCAAGATTGTTAAAAACCAGTGGTCAGAGTTCATAAGATAAAAAAAGCAAGACATTTTTTTCAGTAGTTATCCAAAATAAGTCAGATGCAACATATTGTACAATAAGCATATTGTACAGCAAATAAAAAGTACTTTAAATCTATCTAAGAAGAAATCTCACTGTATTCTAAATAATAATAATAACAGGTACTTTATCACTAAACTATAAACTCCTTAAAGTCAGGGACAGTTTTTTAGGTACCTCTAAGGCCACAGATTGCTATATTGATAATAGCAATAAGAAATCAAGGAAACAGCTGGCATGGTGGTGCACGCTTGTAATCTTAACAACTTGGGAGGCTGAGATAGGAGGATCACAAGTTCAAATCCAGCCTCAGCAACTTAGCAAGGCCCTGAGCAACTTAGCAAGACCCTGTCTCAAAATCTTAAAAAAGGGAGGGGGTGCTAGGGATGTGGCTCAGTGGTTAAGTCCCTTTGGGTTCAATCCCCAGTACCAAAGAAAATAAATTGAGGAAACAACATTATTGTATACAAAGATCACATGAACTGTAAAATCCTGCAGAATTTTAGTTCCATGCAGAAGGTCTGCATGATTTTGAGGTGACTTTGCTTAAGAATTTCTGAGTTCCTCTATTCTTAAATATAAAATGGAAATGGCAATACCTACTTAATAAGATTGCTACTGAGTAAAAATTAGTTAACCTGAACCAGCAGTTGAGTTCAGCAAATAGAGCACTTATCTGTCAGGCACTGTCCTCACCACTGTGGGCATTGTATTAATTCGCTCGTCTGCCATAACAAAATGCCAGACTGAAGGGTTCAAACAGAAAAGTCATTTCCTCACAGTTCCTGAAGCCATCAGCATCTGGTGCAGGCTAACTCCCATGGGTACATGGCTGCCTTCTTACTCTTTTTTCATGTGCCTCTTCATCTGTCAGTTGAGGAGAAAGAGTTCTGGTGGTCTCTTCCTCTTATAAGAACACCAGACCTCTTGGATCCAGACCTCTTGTTTATGACTTAATCTAACTTTAACTTACCTCCTTAAAAGCCTTATCCCCAAATTAGTTCTTATAAGAGGAAGAGACAACCAGAACTCTCTCTTGCTAAGTTGCTGAGTCTGGCCTTGAACTTTCAGTCCTCTTGCCTCATCCTCTCAAGTCACTGGAATTATAGCYATGCACCACCATGCCCTGCAGAACCCAGGGTTTTGTACATGCTAGGCAAGCACGCTACCACTAGCCACACCCCAGCCCAGACAGACTACCTTAGACCCCTTAGCAATTGCAAGACTTCTAAAAAGCAGATGTATGATACCTACTATCCTATTTCCTGGGAAGTAAGTATCACAACAAAATGTTATTCCTCCATCCTTACCAAGTTCATGGGTCCATTATAGTCCAGGTCAGGTGCAAAAGTTTTCAAGGAAAATGTACTGTGCTTGGTCTAGCACAGCAGCCCTGCCATTTAAGGAATTGTAGCTGATGAAAGTAAGGACTGAGAAGGAGCAGCACATTGTAGTTTTTGTGTGGCCATCTCATTTCCATTGCAGTGTCTCAGGTAATAGTTTCCCTACTTTCATATAAAAGGAGCAGTGTAATACATTTGGGAAATAGAAATCAAAATTCAGTTCTATCCTTTGAAAATACAACAATGAGGGTTGGAAGACTGTAACAAATTAGAAAGTTTAAATTTCACATTGTGACATTGACTAGAGAAATTAAATGACTAATATTTGAAAAGAAAAAAAGTTGTTTAACATCAAATGTGGCACAGGTGTAAGCCTGAAGAATGATGCAAAAGAAAAGAAATTTCTTTATCATACTCAGAATGGTATGCAGTAATTTTTTTCCTGTTCTTACCATTCATATAATTCTGAGACTTTGCTGGTGTTCTTCTATTCTTTTTTTTTTATATATATTTTTTAGTTGTTGATAGACCTTTATTTTATTTATTTATATGTGGTGCTGAGAATCGAACCCAGTGCCTCACAAATGCCAGGGCCTAGCCCTGTTCCTCTATTCTTTATCTCATGTGGTATATCTGGAGATAGCAATATTTGGATCTGCCATATATAAAATATATCCTATGTATATTCAAAATATGTTGAAATATAAAGTATGGTAGTAACATATACTCCCATTCTTGAACAGCTGTCAAACTGAAATACTAACTGGGAACCATTAAATAGAATCTGAGAACAAAACTACATTCATCTTACAGTCTAAATCCTATATTTTTGTGATGATTTTAGGACTTTAAAAAAGAAAAAGAGCGGGGCTGCGGATGTGGCTCAAATGGTAGCGTGCTCGCCTGGCATGCACGCGGCTCTGGGTTCGATCCTTGGCACCACATACAAATAAAGATGTTGTGTCTGCCGAAAACTAAAAATAAATACTTTAAAAAATTCTCTCTCTCTCTCTCTCTCTCTCCCCCCCCCCCCCCCCCCCCCCCCCCCCTCTTTAAAAAAAAAAAAAAAAGAAAGAAAAAGAGGAATTAACCTTACTGAATTAGGACTTTATATGTTACCTTTTAGAATCCTAACTTCACTGTGAAATAGGATTTATGCCCTTTTTTACAGGTGAAGAAAATAAGATTCAAAGAAATTAGGTAACCTGATTATGTTCACACAATGAGCCAATGATGGAGCCAAGAATCAAGCCCACTTCCTGAGAGAGAACTAGAACCTAATACCATTTTGTGCCTTTTGTTTATTTGAATCTAAAACTCACCATCCTATATCCCTTGACGTGACTATAGCAAGAAGAATATAGGCCAGTCCTCTGCCTGTCATAGTCTGGCATGATGACTGTTCCCTCAGATGTTTTGCAGTGTCTCTTATGTTCAAAACATATCTAATAAATTATTCTGCTAGTTTTGAAGGGATCAGGATAAAAGGATCATCCAGCAGCTTCATCTTTAAAATCAACCCTTGCCAGTGGTCATAGGAAGATTCTCTTTTAAGAATTGTTTGTGATGCTTCTTAAAGTAGTTCACAAAGGACACAGAAGAATGGACTTAAAGCCATCCAGAGTTTCCTGGAACAGAAATAAAATTCTGTACAAACCTTTTCAGAATATCTGATTGATTCAAGTTAATACCCTATATATGAGTGTATATTTTCTATACATATTTCATCAGATATTTTCCAGAGGAGGGGAGTTCTAATAAATAACTTGTTTATACTTTAATTGTCCCAGGAATAATTATTTTATTCTAAGAACTCGATGTATTTACAGAGAAAGTATTGATGTTCCCCTGCTTTCTGTTCTTGCCATATTTGCAGGCACAAACTGTGGGACTCCCAGTGACCATGCATTCCCCAAACGTGAGGCTGATGCGATCTGCCCTCCTCCCACAGACATCCAACGTGGAGGCCTTTTCATTTCCAGCTTCCGGCTGTCAGGCGGAAGCTGCATTTATGGAAGAAGAGTGTGTCGACACCCCAAAGGTACAGATGGATGTGTTTGAGAGACTCAGAGCTTGCCATATGGCTGTAGACTTGTTTGATCCTGCGATGCTGTGCTGTGGCTTAGCTGAACTCTCATTTTGTCAAGTCAGTCAGGAATGTTGTTTTTGTGGAGAAAACCTAAGAAATGTCCAAAGCTAAATTCTCATCAGTGTTTTATCATTATAGCTGTTTAGTAACATAACTCATCAGACCTCTCCTCCCCCAGAAGCCCCTTTTTTTCCTCCTTCTTTCTTCAAGTTTCTAAATTCCTCACAAGTGTTTAGCTTTATTTGTTTTTTAACAAATTGTAATTCTGAAAACAAAAAGTTAACATGCTATGCTGAATTGGGCTTTGTTTTTGTCAGTATTGCTTCTCTTCTGCTGAGAATACTATAGATACAAAATGATAGGCTTTCTGGTCAGCTAAACCTCTGATTTTGGTCTAGTTTGGACATGCTTGAAGAAGTCAAGTTCACATTTGGCAAACTGTAAAGTTGGCTTTTAGGATATGGAAGATGATAGCTTCTCTCAAGCAATGGACATTTATTAAACTTTTAATATGAGTTGTATATACTTAGCATCAAGAGATATACAAAGGATCATATTAATGAGTAGCCGAGTGTCATAAAAGAATGTAGACCTTAGAGTATATTCAGACTGTGCTCTTTACCAGGTTGTGTGAACTCTTTGAACCTCAGTTTTCTCTTGTGTAAAATGAGAATACCAAATTTATGAGACTATTATGAGGATTGAGATAGTGTTTGTAAGAAGTGGGGAAGATTTTACATACTCGGTAAATATTGGTTTTCTGTCTTTTTGGCCTCTTCAGGTAATTAAAAAAAAAAAAATGAGTCAGACATGAACTCTGCCTCTTGTTTGCTAGACTATATACACAACAAAAGACAATGTGCCAGCCAGGCATGGTGGCACACGCCTGTAATCCCAGCAACTTGGGAGACTGAGACAGGAGCATCGCAAGTTCAAGGCCAGATTTCACAATTTAACAAGACCCTGTCTCAAAAATAAAAAGCAAAAATAAGGATGGGGATGTAGCTCAATGTAGATGTCCCTGAGTTCAATCTCTGATACCAAAAAAAAAAAAAAAAAGCAATATGCCAAGTGTTGAATAAATTGATAAAAGATAGAATATAATTGGCCCTGTAAGGAGATATAAATCAAAGTGAAACTAGAAGGTKGCAAGGAGAGTTGCTTTTAGTGTTTGATCAGGAGAGTCTTTGGATTAAGTGTCAAAGCAGGTAATTGAGAAGTAGATAGAATCAAAGTGGGTGGAAAATAGGTTGGGATGTCTTCAATGGAGACAAAAGCCTGAACAAAAACAAACAAACTTAAGGAATTTCAAGGTTCATCTAAATCAGAGCATTGTTCAGTTTATCTGAGGGAAAAAGTATATGGAGAGAAGTTGTGTGAAATAAAAATGGATAGGTTAGCTTTGAATGCAAGCCAGGCAATTAATACTTGCTCTGTTGGTGGGTGCTTTCAACATGGGTGTGGGGTTCAGTATCAGATGAAACAACTGAAGAGTTAAGATACAAGAGACAATTGAAGATTTTGAGCAAGGAAGCACTATATGTATTCTGCGCTTCAGAAAATTAGGCTGGCTGGCTCCCTAGCATGCAGTAGACAGGGGAGACTGGTGACAGAGAATGGGAGGTTAGAGCACATGTCTCCAAAGGAGATGATGTGGGTCTGAACTGGGAGAGGGGTTATGGGACAGAAGAGGAGGGATGGTTGCATTGAGACTGCAGATAAAATTGATAGGATGTCAGGGTTAAGAGAAAAGCCCAAACCCTTAACAAGATTTTGATTATTGGGAGTATAAGTGCCTTCTCAGAAATCAGGAACTCTGAAGATCCAGTCGGTTGATTCAGAAGTTAAATAATCAGTTTAGCTAGAGCAGACAGCTCAAGCCCAGGCTTCCCCAGCAGGTGTTAAGTCCAGTTGATGAACAGGACCTGTTTGTGTCCCAGCCCCTTAGGATTCCACTTCCTTTCAACAGTCTGTTTTCTCTGCCTGCRGTTTTATGTTAAATAACCTTATAAATTACTGGTACATTCTTGCTCAGAAATTCAGACATAAATTAGAGTAATGTAATTCATTTACTTTAAAGTTATAATTCTCTCAAAAAAATTAAAATGCAGTCTGCTAAAGTCTTGTCTGTGAGGGCACCAGGCCCAAAACACAGATTGGGCACTGTCTGCTATATTATATAGGGCAAGCTATTTTTAAAGCTTGTGATTGTTACCGTAACTAGGAAACAGACAGGAAATGAATGATTTTGTGAAAGATATAGACAGTAGCTAGATGGTGTATTTGCATTTGCAGAAAGAGCAGTGCCACGCTGGAACTGGCCACCCACACTGGCATTGCCACTGTGACACTCAGCCAGGCCATAAACATCCGCTGGTCTTACTGCAGATTGTTCCTTCTCCTAGTTTGCAGTAAAATGTTTGTTCTTCTTCCCTCCCTACTGTCTTTTTCTTTAGGGCCCATAAATAAATGCACATACACAAAACTCCCAGATAGAAATACAATTCTTTTTATTCATTTTCCTTCATTTATACTTACTGTAATGCCCATTTTGTTTTCTGAAAGATGCTTCACAGCTACACATATTGCTCATTTCATTTCTGCTGTCAATCAGGGATAAGTGTTGTGCTTTTCCAAGAGAGCACACCTTTCCTTCCCTCCTGGATATCTTCAGTGCTTAAAACTGTCAGTGAAATCCCTTAAGGAGTCTGAATGGACACTTTGGTTTGGGGTTCCTGCAAAACCAGCACCTTTCTGAGTTATCCATTCTGGGTAAAAAAAAAAAAAAAAAAAAAACAGTAACTGAGACCCACCGGTGACACAGGGACCATGTGGAATGGCAGGTGCATAAACCCTACAGAGCACATCATCCTCACTTGAGTGTTTCTTTGTAAATAATGTATTTTTTTTTCTACACATTCACAAACAGGCCAGTCATTTTTAGCTTTTTATTAGACTATAGTAAAAGGAATTTCTTAGTTAGCATCTTTGTAGCTGGATGGCAGAAGAATTAAAAGAGTAAACCATGAAAATGCAACTATAATAGAGGTATTTCATGTCCGTTTACATTTGATAATTTTTTGAAGCTGAGCATCAAGGCACATGCCTGTATTCCCATTGACTTGGGGAGGCTGAGGCAGGAAGATCACAAGTTTAAGGCCAACCTTAGCAGCTTAGACCTTGCCTCAAAATTAAAAAAAAAAAAAATGGATTGGAGACATAGCTCTGTGGTAAACACCCTGGGTTCATTCCCCAGTAAAAGGAATAATTATGATTTTTTATTATATAAGTAGTATACATAAGAGAAAAAAGGAATAATTATGATTTTTTATTATATAAGTAGTATACATAAGAGAAGCTCTGAGGGGCTGGGGTTATGGCTCAAGTGGTAAAGTACTCACCCAGCACATGTGAGGCACTGGGTTTGATCCTCAGCACCACATAAAAATAAAGATTTGTATCCACTTAAAACTAAAAAATAAATATATAAAAAAAGAGAAGCTATGAAAAGGAAATATTTATCAAACTCTCAGTAGATGCTAACTCTAAGGCTTTGGAGAAGAAATTCCAATTTTACTTCTGAAATTAAATTTTAATAACAAATATTAATTTAAAATCAAAAATAAAACCAGTCAGAATAATGCCTAAAATTCAGAAGGGGATAAAGGAAAAATCAATTTATCCATAACATCACCATCCAAAAATAAGCATATTGCCAGATGTGGTGGCTCACACCAGTAATTCCAGCAACCCAGGAGGCTGAGGCAGAAGGATCACAACTTCAAGGCCAGCCTCAGCAATTTGGGAAGACCCTGGGCAACTTAGTGAGACTGTATCTCAAAACAAAAAAAATAAAAGGATCGGGATGTGGCTCAATGGTAAAGCATCCTGGGTTCAATCCCCAGTACCTAACTAAATAAATAAATTAATTGGAAAAAATAAGCATATTTTGATGTGCTTTCTGTAGGTGGGTAGGGGTAGTATGGGTCAGTAGGTAGAAGGACTTTTTAAAACAAAGTTATATTCTATTATATATAATTTTGTATCTTTCTTTACATTACAGTATAGCATGAATATTTATCCCACATCATGAAATGTTCTTTTAAAGCATGAGTTTTAACAACTGCCTAATACATTGTATTAGGCATCACCTTATTTAATGGCTCTCCTTTGCTTTTTTTCATCCTTATTTATGCTTAAGGTAAATGTTCATATCTAATTCCAATGGTTATTCCTTTAGGATAGATTTTTAGAAATGATGTTACTCAGTTTTTTGTTTTTGTTTTTGTTTTTTTGCTTTTTCACCTTGTAAGTTAATTTGCCTCAAAATAGCAAAAACACTTGTTTTAAAAGTGTTAAATAAGTGAAAAAAATTGAGTTAGAAGTTAAGCAATTCTAACCAGTGAGTGGTGGAGCTGAGATTTGAGCCTATAGCACTTCCTCAACATGTAGCAGACTTACCAGGCACTTAGGATAAAATTATTTAAGACACATTCCCAGCCTCCAAACTCACCAAACTGCTTTGGTGTACTAAATCAGTCTGCTCACCTGCCATAATGAAATACCACAGTGGCTTAAACAACAGGAGTTTCCTCACAGTTCTGGAGCCTGAGAAGTCTAAGATCTAAGTTCCAGCTAATTCAGTCTCTTATAAGCTTCCTTCTCCTGGTTTGCAGATGGTCACCTCATTGTCTTAAGATCTCTCATGTGCCCCAGGGGGAGTTAGGAGTAAGCCTGCCAGCTGTCCCTTCTTATAAAGACACTAATCCTTTGGGGTCAGGGCCCTACTCCCTTAGAAACACTGTCTCCAAATACAGCCACGTGCTGGTTAGGGTCAACATAGGAATTTTGGAAGGATAGAACGTTCAGTCCATAGCAGTCTTCCAGTCTCTTATGCTAGAATCTTGTACTTGATGTAGACTCTTGGGCTTTCTCAATTAGTGTTGGGGTCTCTGAGGACTTGATCCCCGCATGTGTATCACCTATTACATAAAAGGTCTCTTGGAAGTAAAGTGACTTAAGCTTTAAGGAAAAACAAAATATATTAGAAAATTACATTTTACCCACATTGTATTTTAAGTTTTTCTAATCCCATCAGCCTAGATTGTTTCCTGTTCCTAAAGCAAAAGGTCTTATTTCCAGCAGCTTAGGTCACCTAGGCAGATCAACCCAGTATTTCAGTCATAAAACCCTGGAACTGGAAGTACTCACACCTGTTAACTGAGCCACCCCACAGGACATCAGTATATTGCCAGGTATGGTGATGTACACCTGTAATCCCAGCAGCTCAGGAGACTGAGGCAAGGAGGATCACAAGTTTGAGGCCATTCTCAACAACTTAGCAAGTCCCTAAGCAACTGAGACCCTGCCTCAAAATAAAAAATAAAAGGACCCGGGGTGTAGCTTGGTGATAAAATATTTCTGGGTTCAATTCCTTTAAAAAAAAAAAAAAGTTAGTTTATTGTTTTCCAGCTGCCCCAGGATGAAAAGTCAGTTCTGTGAAAAAAATCAGATCCTTGTTTTCTAGTGGTATGAGGATGAAATTTGTTTCAGTAAACATTTCTTAATCAAAAACATAATTCATCTAGTTTGGATGGGATAAATTTATAGGGTAACAATTTAAGTAAAATTGCAAATTCAGGGAGACTGCAGGGTTTTTTGAGTGATTCAAGAAAAGGTGACTTTCTTCCATTAAGGAAAAATAAAGAATATAGATGACTTATCCTGCAGGAGCCACCTGACAGAGGCTATATGAAGACACTCAGTATATAATTATTTAATAACATCCTTTTCTCCATTGCTTTATTCATTTCTAAATCATCCTCGATTAGTCTTAGAAAATTGTGTTAGTAGATAGTTAAGGAGCCTGGAAGTGTGAATGTAAGTTCTCAGCCATTCTTTCCTGCAAGAAAACTGTTAAATGTCATCAGAAAGGAAAACTAACCTGAGGAAGGGCCAAGAAAAGAATGAGAGTTGCTAGCCAGATTGCAGATTTTTTTTTTTCCTAGTGCCATGGGGAAGTGACCACTTATCACTTTACAACACTGTAATGCCTTAGTCACCTTACCCAGGCAATGGCTCTAGCCCCAGAACAATTTTTATGGAATAAGCATCACCTTCCCCAAGCAAACAAAAATCTGAGTCACCTAACTCCCCCTCTCCAAATAGAAGGCCATGGAATAGATATTCACGGTTGCCATGAGAGGGAATTTCCTGTGTCTGGCACAGGGATGTCCACATCACCTCTCACATACATGAGCTTCTCCTGATTCCAAAGGAAACAACAGTTCTAGCCAGTATGTTCCAGGTGAAAGTCGTTCTTAGAACTCAGCATCTGTGCTGGCTGTTCCTGAGCAGCTATTCATAGGAGAAAATGGATTGATTTCCACAGGGGAATAGTTAAGGTAATGAGGTAAATAATTGCCTCCTCTTTGGGGCTTTTACCAGCCAGAAGAGCTCAAAACCACAACTCCCCTTTGTGTGCCTTTCTGCCTGCCTAATGGTGGTTTGCTTGGCAACTGCCAGGAAGGCAGTGTGCTCGCTCAGGAGCTRTGTTGAGCCCATCCCTGTGGGTAGGAGCCATAGATAGTGTGTCACTGCCAGAGAAGAGAGAATTCCGTGCACTGGGGCTTATTAACCTCTGCAGGAATTTTGGGCCCGTGAGTCATTTGTTGTTCTATAATGGAAGGCTTTGGCTGTTTGCCATTTAATTTTTTTTTTTCAATCCTTTTTGTGGTATCACTCTGTCTTTAACAAAGAATTCTTACTTTCCATTCTTGAGGCACATAGAACCAACTACAAACTGAATCAAATGGGCAGGTACTTAAATTATGAACATAGAAGTATATCTAGAGTYTTCCAGTATGTCTCTGGTTGAAAATTAGAAGAATGTTGATACTGCACTTCAGTTTATAAGCCATGTACTTAWATAACAAAATCTCATCTTCCCCCTCTTCATTTCTCTTATTAAAAAAAATAAATAACTGGTAGGCCTCAAGCTAATAGACCCCCTGTTCATCTGGAAACCACTAACAATATTGTTTATTGTAATAATGATGACTCAGAGGAACCTGGGTGGCAGTGCCACTTTGGGTCATAAGGGTCTCTTGTCTCCAAGCACTGCAGTTGACTTGCTTTAACTTCTGTATGTTGTCATTAGAAAAAATGTGAACACTTTTAATATTTTACTTAATTTCTAGTTTGCCATAAGTCGTGGCATTTTTTTGCTTTGTGGATTTTTCTGATGTCTCGGCAGAGCAGCTGCTGACAGTTTCCTCTCACACCTTTGACATTTAGGTAAATGGCTGTCTGCTTGACCCTGTGCCTCCTGTCCTGGTGAGGAAAGGATGCCAGTCACTGCCCAGCAACATGATGGAGACCTCCATTGATGAGGGGTTGGAGACAGAAGGAGAGGCTGAGGAGGACCCCAGTCATGCCTTTGAAGCTTTTCAGTCCACGCGCAGTGGGCAGAGACGGCACACTCTGTCAGAAGTGACCAACCAACTGGTCGTGATGCCTGGGGCAGGTATGTTATCAGAGGAGCATCAGGTCAAGTCTTCATGGCACCAGCTCATACTCCAGTCACCACAAAGTAATGAGACCAACCAGTCCCTGGAATATAATCTGTGCTTACTCCTTTGTGGAGCAGTTGCAGTAAGTTGTAGGATTAGGCCTGCTCGGCAGCTGACAAAGATTAAAATGGAATGTTTGTGAGTTGATTCCCCTTACTCGTAGGGGTGCTTCATTGGAGACAGGCTCTTTGGGAGCAACCACTCTTTGGAAGTGACAACCCCTCCCTTGACAGTGTAGATTCTGAGTATGATATGGGATCTGCTCAGAGAGACCTAAACTTTCTTAGCACAACCCTTCCCTTAAGGACATCATGTTAGCCAATCAACCCTCACCCTGCATGACATCTCCTTTCATAAGGTGCAGCTTCTGGAGTGTTTTCCCCCACTAAATTTGAAGATGGTTAAATTGACCTATGAAAGGGTTCTGAAAATATGGGGTTTTCTTGTTTTGTTTTGTTTTTCTTGTTTTGTTTTGGGGGGATTGTGGGTTGGTTGGTCGGTTGGGTTTTTTGTTTGGTTGTTTGTTTTTTGCAGTGCTAGAGATTGAACCCCAGAGCCTTACACATGCTAGACAATCACTCTACTACCAAGCTGTATCTCCCCACCCCTGAAAAGGTGTTGCTTGTTTTGGGTTTTCATTTTTTGGTTTGAGACAGGGTCTCACTGTGTTGATCAGGCTGTTCTGAAATTCCTGGGCTCAAGCAATCCTTCTGCCTCAGTCTCCCAAGAAACTGGGACTGCAGGCTTCTGCCACTTGAAAAGATGTTTTGATTGGATAGTGAGAACATTGCTGATGTCAAGACTAAAGCTTATTATGCTTTGTATTCTAAGTTCAAAATGCTATAGCWGTTCTATCTCTTTGTTTTGTTTTTTCTCTTAAAGGTAAAATTTTCTCCATGAGTGACAACCCCTCCCTTGATAGTGTGGACTCTGAGTATGATATGGGGTCTGCTCAGAGAGACCTGAACTTTCTGGAGGACAACCCTTCCCTTAAGGACATCATGTTAGCCAATCAACCGTCACCCCGCATGACATCTCCTTTCATAAGCCTGAGGCCTACCAACCCAGCCATGCAGGCTCTGAGTTCCCAGAAACGAGAGGCCCACAACAGATCACCAGTGAGCTTCAGAGAGGGCCGCAGGGCATCTGATACCTCCCTCACCCAAGGTGAATGCTTCTTCTACTTTTCAAACTCTTACATTGTAGCAGTTGAGGGACATTTGTTGCTGTGTTAGTTGAACCTGTGATCACTGAACAACCTTGTATTTTACTTAAACTGTTTGGTCTTTGTGCTTTCTTTCAGGAATTGTAGCATTTAGACAACATCTTCAGAATCTGGCTAGAACCAAAGGAATTCTGGAGTTGAACAAAGTGCAGTTGCTTTATGAACAGATGGGACCAGAGGCAGACCCTAATTTGACATCAGCTGCCCCTCAGCTCCAAGACCTCGACAGCAGTTGCCCTCAGGTGGGTAATCTAGGCCCTTCCCACCATGACTCTGAGTGAAGATGCATGGGTTTTATTAGAGGACTTCCAGTTCTAGACAAGGACATTCTTTTGGAAAGTGTACAGCCCAAACGCTTTCCTTGTTGCTGCTGTTGATAGCTTAGACCAAGCCACACCACTGCCAGGTGTCAGCCCCAGATGGAGGCCTAGACATGCTCTAGCTAGGTTTGGTTCACAGGACAGATTGTATGTGGGTGACTCTTACAGCCCTTGAACTCCCTCACCCCCATGCATACACAAAAATGAAGAGTAATAAACATTACCCAAATATGAAGCTTTTTGCCACTATTTTTGATGTGAAATCACTTTATTAAGGCCAGGCACAGTGGTGCACGCCTGTAATCCCAGCAGCTCAGGAGGCTGAGGCAGGAGGATCGGAAGTTCAAAGTCAGCCTCAGCAACTTAGTGAGGCCCTAAGCAACTCAGAGATTCCCTGTCTTTAAATAAAACACATAGGGCTGGGGATGTGGCTCAAGCAGTAGCATGCTCGCCTGGCATGCGTGTGGCCCGGTTCGATCCTCAGCACCACATACCAACAAAGATGTTGTGTCTGCCGAGAACTAAAAAATAAATGTTAAAAAATTCTCTCTCTCTCTCTCTCTCTCTCTCTCTCTCTCTCTCTCTCTCCTCTCTCACTCTCTCTTTAAAAAAAAAAATAAATAAATAAAATAAAACACATAAAAGGGCTGATAATGAGGCTCAGTAGTTGAGTGCCCCTGAGTTCAATCCCCAGTATCAAAATTAAAAAAAAAAAATCAACAGAAAATCACTTTATTAAATATAACAAGTGGACCATTCATACTAAAAATACAATAAATACTGTTTTTTTATACTGTATGCTTTATTTTGAGCCTCTTTTTAGTACACTAAGAATCTTTGTAGGTGATGATGGCCTCCTGATGACACCAGGAGCTTTTGCTGTGATCCTGATTAGGTAGTTGTTGACAACAGTTAATACATATAGTATAAGTTCTCTGCAAAGTAATTAACTTCAACCTACTAATTAGGGAAAAGATTGGAGTGTTATGTCAGAGAGTTGAGATTCCTCTTGGTCATTTGAAAAGGTACTTAAACTAAAAATTAAAACTTTTTCCCACATGGAAAATTGAAAATTGTTTTCACTCCCCTGCTCCTCAGGAGGAAGTTTCCCAGCAGCAGGAAAGTGTCTCCACTCTGCCTACCAGTGTGCATCCTCAACTTTCCCAGCGGCAGAGTCTAGAAACCCAGTACCTACAGCATAGACTCCAGGTGGGATCCTTCCCCTCGTTCACCCAGCTCACTTTGTCCATTCAGAATCTGCCTTTCTGCACAGCCTTATCCTGTGTCAGTAGTAGGAAAGGACTGGTCCTCAGGCCTTTCAAAGGATATGACAAGGAGTGGTAGGAAAGGGAGACCTGACTTCTTCATTTCTAATTCTATACTTATATACTGATAAAGAAAATGAAAATCTGGAAGTCTGCAAAATGCTAATATGTCTGTCTGCACTAGGATATGAAGATTCTAAGAAATAATGCATTAAGAATGAAACATTCATTCAGTAAGTGCTGGTCCTTTACTATCAAGATTTATGGCTACTTTTCTCGTTGTTTTGAATCACCATGAACCTCATTATCCTAGAGGACTTTCAGAAGTGAAAAAAAATTAGATCAGAACTGAGTCACCCCAGCCTACTCACCAGTGCCCTTCCAGGGTCTCAGTGAGCCCAGGCCAGTCCCTTCGTCCTGTGTGGAATCTGGAGGTTGACCTTGGATTCACCCTTGAAACAGAAGCATGGTGAGATGACTGCCTCCTGGGTGACAGCACATGATCATGCTTGTATTGTTTTTGTGCTTCCAGAAGCCTAGCCTTCTGTCAAAGGCGCAGAATACCTGTCAGCTTTATTGTAAAGAACCACCACGGAGCCTTGAGCAGCAGCTGCAAGAACACAGGTAAGATGGGGTATTTGTCCAGTGAAGTCGCTGACTTTTGTGGAAGCCCTAAGAATGCTGTGTATTTTCCCTTCCCATTCATGTTTGCCTCTGCTAGAAACATAGGTTTTGCTGCATGTCCCATGGCCTTTTCAAGCACGATTGCTAATGAGGCTATTTCAGCATCTGTGAAGTATGGGCCTGTCTGGCAATACCAGCCCCAAAATGTGCTTTGTTTTCCTTTTCTTCTAATAATTCCATTTTGGAATATGAATAGCCCTCAGATTTTAGGACCAGTGGCCTGAAGCAGTTTGAGTGAGTTAGACTGCAGGAAAGCCTCCTCTCTTGCCATTGCTCATGCCACCCAGAGGCCTCACTAGTAGAAACAGCTTGACCAAGGCTTACCCTAATCCCTTAAACTATAGGCAACCCATAGAGGCCAAGGTGTGATCTCTCTTTCATACAATCCAGATGAAAAAAGCAGTCTCTCACTTCATAGAGAGAGAAACAGTGTCTTGCAGGATAAGCATTTGTGCTCACTTAACTCCAAGGGAACAGTGAAAATTAGGGGGCAAAAAGTGAAATTAGGTTTCAGAAACCCAACACAGTGGGCTCCTACTTGCAGTTTGTTTTCCTTACATGGGAAAGAAAGAAATGGGGACCTGAAGCTAATTCTTGGTATTGGATTATCATTAAGATCACCATCACCTGAGAAGATCTAAAAACGCTCTCCTTTGGTATTACCGATTTAGGCTCCAACAGAAGCGACTCTTTCTCCAGAAGCAGTCTCAGCTCCAGGCGTATTTTAATCAGATGCAGATAGCAGAGAGCTCCTACCCTCAGCCAAGTCAGCAGCTGCCCCTTTCCCACCAGGAGACTCCACCACCAACCCAACAGCCCCCACCCTTCAGCCTGACCCAGCCCCTGAGCCCTGTCCTGGAGCCTTCTTCTGAGCAAATACAATACAGCCCTTTCCTCAGCCAGTACCAGGAGATGCAGCTGCAGCCTCTGCCCTCCACGCCTGGCCCCCGGGCTCCTCCTCCATTGCCCACACAGCTGCAACAGCAGCAGCCACCGCCTCCACCACCTCCTCCACCACCACAACAGCCTGGAGCTGCTCCAGCCCCCTTGCAGTTCTCCTATCAGACTTGTGAGCTGTCAAGTGCCACTTCCTCTGCGCCAGACTATCCCACTTCCTGTCAGTATCCCGTGGATGGAGACCAGCAGAGTGGCCTCACAGGTCCGGACTGTCCCAGGAGCTCAGGACTGCAAGAGGCGCCCTCCAGCTATGACCCGCTAGCCCTTCCTGAGTTACCTGGACTCTTTGATTGTGAAATGCTAGATGCGGTGGATCCACAACACAATGGGTATGTCCTGGTGAATTAATCTCAGCACAGGAAGTGAGGTGGATCTAGTAAAGGCAGACTGTGTATTTTTATTTTTATTCCAGCCTTTTAAATTTAAAGCTTATTTTCTTGTCCTCTTCCTAATGGGGAAAAATCAAGTCGCCCAACTGGAATCAGAGGACTTGGCTGGGATGGATGTGCTTCCTCCTGGCTCTGTCCCACCACAAAGTTTTCTGTGGCAAATGCTGGAACATAGTTGCAGGCTGAAGCTCATATCCATAGGTGAAGTGAAGCCAGCACTTGAGGGAGGCACCAACAAATGTTTTTTATAAGACAACAACATTCAGACCTGGGTTTTATGCAAAATTATACCAGTTCATTATTGAGGTAAACCTTGGTGAAAGCAGGAACAATGTGTGCTGTTGCGTAGGAATGCGTGTRCGTGCACGTGTGTTAGGGCAAAACAAAAAGACAATATATTTTTCACTGAAGTCAAGCAACAGCATTGCTTCAAGGCAAATCAAGAATACATATGGAATTTGATGCACAGGAGTAAAGTTGTACTTTGTCATTGAATCCTAAGTTCTCAGCTGCTGATGCAGATTGTTCCCAAGACTTGAAAAGCAGTGGAGCATGAGCTGTTTCAGGGCCCACTAAGTAACAGCTGGTACTGACCCCTGACACCTGCAGTCGTCTCCACCTGGGAGAAGGCGACACACCTCTTCAGAAGGTGCCACTAGGTTACCATGTGTCAGAATATACTCAGGGCTCCAAAGATGTCACCCATAGAACCAACAGGAGACCCACCACAGTGGAGGCTGGGGGCAAGAAACTGGAGAAAGTATCAGGAGCACCAGCCCTGGGCCAGGGACAGGCTCTTTCTGCACGGTCTCTTGAGGAGACTTCAGGCTGGGGCATTTGGTCTCCAGAGGACCTCTCGGGTCTTCTACAGTGTAGTAACTCCTCTTTGACTTTACACTCTATGTTGCTAGTAGTTTATTGAGCTTTGTATATTTGGACAATTTCATATAGGGCTTAGAAATTTTAAGGACACAAAAAAATGAACTTTTATGTCCCATGTGAAGTGGTAGTGCTGTGCCTTTTCCCCACCATGCTTTAATTCTTTCTTTTCTATAGAAATCAAGTTTTCCATTAATGTCAATGCTAAATCCAAAGTCACTTCAGTTTATTTTCCACCATGTGGGAATCTGCATTCTTAATTTCCTTAAAGTTTTGACTTGTAATGAAATGTTCAAAAGTATTACAGCAATACTCAAAGCAACACAGATGTGTTAACCATTTAAGCATATCATCTGCCAAACATGTTATATTACTAGAAAAATTGAACCCTTACAATCATTCATCACAATAAGTGAAAAATAGATGCTACACTAGTTAACTGTATACCTAGAAGTAATGAGTAATCTGTCAATTTAGACAGTGACCTCCAGGTGTTACAAATTCAGTATTATTTACAAAAACCATAATTTATGTCCTTTAGAGTGGCTTGTCCTATCAGCAGATGAAAGCGTTAAGCACAAAGCGTCTTCCTTAAAGCACAAAGAGAGACGCCACACTGACGCTGCATCTAGAAACACCTTTAAGTTGCCTTTCCTCTTTGTAGTAAGTGTCCAGGCAGGGAAAGGAAGCATGCAAGTGGAGGAGATTGTTCTGGACCCAGCCCAGCCCCTGCCAGTGCTGGTGAATTTAGCAGTCCTTGAAAGTGGCCAGGGACTGCTAGGCATAGGGGCTCCCCATTGATGCCAGGCTGCTTCACAAAGGAACTCTGCTTGGATTGGGACTCTGGGTATCAGCAGGAAAGTGGGAGGGGGGAGACTTATCATTTTTGTGATTTAATAACACAATGAAAATCCAGGAAGAGTGAATTATGCACCTTTTATGGGTTGTTTATTCCTGCTTGTGTTTAATATGGATGATTTCTTGAGATAGAAAATATTATTTCTTTTGATCATTTCATGAAGATCTATTTTAAGTCTTTGCAAAATAAGTCAGTTAGTGGGGCTGGAATAGCTCAGTGGTATAGAATGTTTACCCAGCATGCACAAGGTCCTGGGTTCAATCCCCAGCACCACAAAAATAAAAATATTAGACAACAATAATAAAAAAAAAGCCAGTTATTAAACAGGGATTGATTTGTTTAGACTGAAGGAGGATATTTTCCTCAAAATACTACAGAAGTGTTGTGATGTCATTGAAATTAAAATGCCTCCCAGCATCTTAATGAAACTGGGGGCCACTCATTTCAGGACTGCAGGAATGGCACAGTTACAGCTTGGCATAGACTCCTGTCCCCAAACAGGGCCGTGAGCTGCTTAGCCCAGGAGACCTAGGAGCTGTGTCAGGACAGTTATGTGACAACATGAGGGACCGCGCTGGAGAGGCTGTTGGAAGGTTACAGGACCAAAAGATAAGTGGGGAAGCACCAGCAGTGGCCAGTCCTGTTAGGCACTTACAGGGCGATGATATGGACAAGTCACCTGTGAAGAGCACAACCCTCCTGCTGGAATCTCTGTTGTAAGCGTCTGTTTGCCTCTGTCACTGATTCCCAGCAGAAATCAATAAATTCCACAGCCCATGTATTTCCTGAAATGTAGTGGTAAGCAGAGACTGTTTCTGTTGACCTGTTAGGTGTTTGCTATCTGTCGCCTGTATGGCTCTGTTCCATAACTAGTGACCTGTGGAAGCTTCTGTGAGTTTTCCCTTCACAAATACTACAGTAACACTAAGAAGGCTTAGGACCATTCTTGAAGTACTGACTTGCTTGCCGGTCTGTCTCACATAAGCAGTGTGAACACTAAAGTGTAATAATCATTATTAGCTTTGTTAGTTTGTAAACCAGGCTTCTCTGAAGAGACTTTGGTAAGATGAACATGAGGTAAAAATTTCATTCTGCAAAAAGTGCAATACGTGTGGTACTTTTTTATTTTTTGTTTATGATCTCTTTTTAATCCAGGGGTATTAGTCTCTGCTTTGAGGAAAATGCACTAGTTGAGCAGTTTCCAGTTGGGCGAATGTGTCTCTAGTATTTACATGCAACTGACATGCTGGTCCCTGTAAGGCAAATAGAGCATGTTAATATAAGAGAAAGAGGAGGGGTAAAACACTTTAAATTCCTCAGGAGCCCCGGCTCCACCACTACCACCTCTACTCTGGCCTACACTGCCCTCCTACTACCTTGGGATAAGGAAAGGGGACTGACTGTTCTCTACACCACCCTCCAGAATCCACTGAAGGGGACAACAGAGAAACACCAGGAGGACTAGAGATGAAACTGAATTACTGTTGAAGTGACAGGAGCAAAACCCCTTCCTGTCAGACTTTTGTCTCCTAGGAAAGAAAAAATCCTTCCTCAGAAATCAAGAATTCCCAAGTGTTTAAATCATGTCCTGGTGTTGGGGAGGCAGGACTGAAGTCAGCCCTTGCCTTTTGTGCTTTGTTCTGACTTGAGTGATGGGGGCTCTGCCCTGTTACAGGGAGCCCCTATGGAGTAATGCCCTCCACCCTGCCCTGACCTCTTCCTCCTCCCCCCTTGCACTGGGTGTTGTTCTACCTAAGGCAGGGAACTCATGAAGACCTCTGCCTAGTTGTTAGAATTGGGAAGGAGGACATGTTCGCAGCTGGAGAGTGATTAGGTGATAAGCCAGAAGCTACGGCAAGGTGAAAAATAGCAGCTTCYAGTAGCAGTTGGCCAGTTGGTCAAGCTGTTCCCATGCCCACACACCTGCCAGGTATGAGAGCATGAGAACAGCCTCTGATTAGGAGTGGACTGCTCAGCACCCAGGACACAGTAGGTGCTGCCTCCTTTGCGGGGTTCTCCAATTTCTGGGCAAGCCCCAGTTTCTGCAGTGTATTGGGATCAGCTTTTTCTGTTCTGGATTACACTTAAAAACCTATATAAGCTCCCTATATTGGTTTAAAGAAAATTCATACTCTAGGTAACATTTTCACATTCCTCCCCCTTTAGAGACAATACATAGTGTCACTTGACAACATTGGTCCCAGTGAGCAGCTGCGGAATCCCTGTGCCGGGACTGACCTTTGCTGCATTTGTACCCCACACTGGGCTGCCTCTACTGCCTCCTCGGAAGCCACCCAAGCCGCTCGGTCTCTTTGTGCCTAGACATCAAAGGTAAAAACTGGAGAACAGGTAGTAAGTTGGAGTCATGTACAGGCAGGGATATTTGATCATTTTGTTGCTTCTGGAAATTTTTTTTACAGAACTTATTATCTTCAGAGTGAATTTGTGGAAGACAAAAGCAGTATCACCTATCTGCCTCTGTTTTTAAACTGGACAAAACATTTTTAAAAGTATTATATATATATATATATATATATATATATATATATCCCTTAAGCTTCTAATATATATATATATATATATATATATATATATATATCCCTTAAGCTTCTATAGTCTGTCCTCCCCGGCCTGTGACACAGGCAAATGACTTTGAGACTCCAGAGCTTTTTTGTCTGCCCTCGAAGGTGGCTGGGTGGACAAGGCAGTGGCCTTTCAGGGCCTCTTTGGCCCTAGAGTCTCTGGTCTTCAATACCCTCTCACATATTTGTTCTACTGGGTTTTTTCCAATTAAGTAAACCTGGCTGACTTCTAACAGACTCCCAGCCATCCTAGTTGCACCACCATCTTATGTTCACATATTATCTGGGTGGATTTCAACACATTTGGCAGATGGGACATATACGGTTGCATATATTGAGACAGGGAGCAGCACTGCTGCCCAGGGACAATCAGTGATAGTTTTGATGATCCCTACCCAAATATTCAGTTTGCCTGTCCAAAAGGAGCACTCACTTCTGTTTTTAACTTACCAAGCATTTTCAAGTCATCTCTTATAATCCTCACAACAATTCTATGAAATTGATTGGGGAGGTACTATCCCAGCTGAGGAAACCAAAGCTCTCTGAGTGTGTACGTGACTTATCTGAGGTCACAGAATTCTAGTTAAGTGGAGGAGCCAGTACATGCACTTACTTCTCGAAGGCTTCTCTTTCCCCTCCTCAGTAGTACCTGATTATTTTTATAAGCAAGCAGCTATATAAACCCATTGTGGCCAAGCACCGGATGAACGTAACATTGTCCCCACAGCTGCACTCTCCACTGGACAGCTGCCTGGCTTTGGGAGAGAGGTGCCCT